ATAACTAGTGTATTTATTTTAAAAAGGGAGATAATCTCATCTATTTCTCACCTGCTTTTTGGCAGCAAACTTCATTTTTGCTAAGTAATAGAATAAGAAAGTTTCCTCTTGTCAGTACTCCMGGCTTAAGCCTATGCATGTGCTGCCTTTTTACAGGTACAAAATGGGGAACTTACAGCCTAAGCAAAAAGATGAATATGCAAGCATTTTATTATTCTACTTTTTAAAAATCCCAGTAGAGAAAACACAAAGAGTCCCTGTGACTTGAATCTCATGTGTTTTCTTTTCAACTTGGAGAGAAATAAATTAATCTATTTTGAAGGATTTGTCAAGCATTAATTTTAATCCTAATTTATTTATTCCCAAATCCAGCAATCACTTAAGTGCATGCTTATGCTAAGTGTAAGAATTAGCCCATTAATTCTAAAGTTAAAAATCATACAAGTTAGCTTTAGCRGATTCCAGTCCTATACAGTAATACTATCTGCCATATTTGATTCTCTTTATTCTCTTATCTTAAAGAGTCTCATTTCTACCGTGAATAGAGGATTAACTCTACCTTTTACTCCTCTGATACGCTAACGGTTGCAAAAATAGTACAAACTTGCCCTAACCATTGCTTGCTGGCTGGGTCAAATGAGTTTATCTCAACCCACACTTCTGCCACATGTTTTCAACGTAACCTGAAAAGGATACTATGGAAAATCAGGTGTATTATTTTCCAATTAATCCAAACAAAACATGGTTACTCTCTCCTGTTTTGCAATACACTTCTTTAAAACAACAGGCTCTAGTTTAAACCTCATGTTCAGGCATTTATTACATCTGTTTTCTGTTCCCTTGGAAAGTAGCGCCCTTGGAAAATAGCGCCCAAATGAATTACAATGAGATTTGTCAGTTGAAACCAAAGGGGAGTTCAGGTAATAAACATTTAATTTTAGGTTAAAAAAATATATATTTAAAAGCTTTGAATGTGTTTTCAGATGGCTCAGTTTGTCACAGCTCCATCGCAGCCACTGCTTGATATCTATTGCAACCTTCCTGAGTATACCTTCCAAGCAGAGATAAGGTCAAAAGAAGAAGGAAGAGACAACAGCAGTACGAAGGTGCAAGCTGTGAATTCATAGCATGATTTGTGGGAGTCCAGATGCACTGGCATCCTGGCCTCACAGCCTCTCCCTGCAACAAGCAACAGCTTCACACCCTAAAAATTTTCACTACTCTCGTAAAATCTGTGGATTCAGGGGCATTGCTGGAGCCCCACTAAAGAACTATCACAATCATATTTTCTTCCTCCTGGCTTTTCTAAGAATGCTGGAAGGGCTCCCTCGCACACCAGAAGAGACCTGCAGAATGGCAATTGCAACAACTGGTCTTCAACTCAGAATGAGAAGAACTTRATTCTTCTCTAAGGGTAACAGTAAAGAAAAACAAAAATACTGCTTGAAAAGAAGGTTTCCTTAGAGAAAAAGCATATACAAGCATCTAAAACAACAAGCATCTAACTAATAAATATAATCTAATAATTGTCAACCTTACTGTTATCATTTTCTTTGCAGCAGCTCTGAGATGGATCCCTCCAGCACCACTACACAGATAAGGAAACCTTATCAGGACACGAACCAGCTCTCCTGCAAGGCTCTCCTAATCCCTCACATAGACTCCAAGACATCAGTCTTCCAGCTGCACCTTTGCTATCCCCAGGCACTGTCAGTCTTTCAACGACACGTTTGGTTCTTCTAGATTCCTGGAGCCAACTACTCTCCCCTCCTGCAGCCACCCCTGCTTTGCTCTGCAGGCTGATGCTGAAGGGGTGAGTGAGACTCGGGTGGCACCAGCACTGCCTGGCAATTTATAGGAAGGTTCAGCTCCTCTCAGCAACAGAAAGCTAACAAAGTTCAAGTGGCTCTGGAATTTTAAAAGCAAAGTACACCCATCTCCTCTGTAGCATGTCAGACCAAGAACAAACGGTTCTTTAGAAATGAATAAATGTCACTCATTGTCTGAACATGAGGCTGTTTACGAAATACAACTAGATTCAGAAACCATCATCCCATAAACCCCAGAGGTGTTCCAATATCACTTAATTTGGCACCAAAGCTCTTCTCCCTGGAGCCCTGCTGTTACACATAAATGCCTTTAGAAATAAGCTATTAAATTGCRAGAAGTTTAAAAATAAGCATCTTGAAGTAGATGCAAGCATTGTGGTTACATTTAAACGGGCCTTATTGAAAGCTGTTCACGTCCAAGGTTCTCCTTACAAAACTCAGAAAGATAAAATAACAAAACTCACTTTAAGTTAAAGTAGTTTGAACGGTAAAAGAGCCCTCAAATCCTATGTTACACATTGAGTACAAGAGCATTTGTCACATTCACATTAGGCCTTTCATTYGGTTATTTTGCAAAGTACTCCATTAACTTGACTTTGGTGAAGTAAAAGCAAATCAGGTCCATTCTGTACTAAAAGCTCTTGGCTTACCATGAAATGCATTTTTTTCTGTATAGATTTGCCCATAAAGAGGCAAAAGAAGTTCTCCAGCTGGCTTTGAATGTGCTAACCAGCGTACCAGGAGCCATTCAGCTCCAGCAGCACTGCATTTGATGCAGATTCCCTTGCCCTTGTCTCCATTTGCAGGGTAGACTAGAGAATATGTTAGCAAATGTGCTCCAGTAAAGGTTTTCCAGTTTTCCCATTCAAACAATTCCTGCATCAGAKGCAGGAACCTAATACAGCCTCGAAGCATAAAGTGAAAAAAAAATCCTTCTTTTATGACCASTAGTTCTTCCCACCACACTGCCAGCTACCTGAACTGTGCCCCAGAGACAACTCCAGCTCTAAGGAAACGAATTCAACTATTATAGGAACCTCTCCAGGGAAGTCCYATGCTCAGGATATTTAAAACTAGGCCAGAGAGAACAGTGGCAAATGCACAATAGAAAATGGATGACAAAGATGTTTTCTCAGCATCCAGCCTCTGTGGAACATCACTTCTGTTAATCAATGAGTTGACAGAGCCAGGGTCCTGCAAACGGAGCGTGTCAAGCTTTGCACCAACTACTACAGCAGTGCTGAGCCACCATCGTCTCCCTCCTCTGTACGTTTCTTTGCTGCCAAGCTTCACGTGGATTTGAAGTGGTGAGTCAGGCTTGCAGCCCTCCCGGTGCATTTACGCTGCCTGAGAAAAGATTCCAGGAATCACCCCTGCTTGCTCGGGAGCCAACACAAGCTCCCTTTCCTGATCAGCTCCCCTTCCTCATCGGCTCTCGAGGGAACATTGGTAATTACGCTAACTAACAAGAAGAAAACATTTTGGGATGAAAATTTGGGGCGCGGGGGAACAAACAGGCAGAGTTGTACTTGATAATCACATATTCCTCCAGTGTTATCTGAAACAGCTAGAGCATACCTCCAACTTAAAGATCGTAGCAGCAAACTCTATCGTTTAGTCTACAATCGCATCAAGAAAAAGCAGAGAGTGAAGATATTTTTCTACGATGTTTAACTTGTATGTTTGACAGCAGTTTAGATACAGGTTAGATAAAGGCCTCTTCGAGCAAAGATTTAAGCATGTAAATAAGCTCACTCAAGTTTCCTGGTTAAGTAACTCAAGTCTTTTCAGGATCAGAGCCTTGCCTGCTCCTTGTTCGTGCCATGAAACAGAAACTAAGTGACTTTTCAAACCAAATTATGTGCACGCAGTTGGACGTCTTTGCTTAGTAACTTGATGGTGTGTTACAACGCTTGCCCAAACAGTACTTTCCTGTTTGTAATACACTCCCTGGGCTATTTTGTTATTTATTTATGCTAAATACATAGGTGTTTTCAGAGCATAATAACCATATCCTTACTTCAGCTTGTAAACCATATGGGATATTCTCGTACATACGGTTTCAGAAGAATCTTTTCATTGATCAGCCCCACACACTAACTACGTACATACTTCTTGTCCTGGTCTAGCAGCCGCAGACACCGATGCGATCCGTTCCAGACCCGGTGCTGCGTTGTGGACTCAGCCCTGTACGCGTCTGCAGAACCCAGGCCTTGCCTTCTGCTGGATGAAAACCCAGTGCTCGGCAGATCCGTATCACAAGACCAAGACCCCGCCGGGCACGCCAGCACGTCGCCCTTTGCCCAGCTGCTCACGCTGCTCCATCACTCAACGCCATCAGCCCTGTGTAACTCCCTTCTCAGCTGCACGTGAGGTTATCCTCGGGGCCGGCGGAGTCCTTCGGGTGTCCCCATCCCCATCCCGCTTTGCTGCCAACAGGCACATCGGGGCACAGGGCACGGAATGGCAGCCCACGCACCTCAGCCATCGTGCTGGCAGCGCAGCCGCAGCACCCGGAGCTCGGGTAGCCCTCGGTTTGGGCTCTCTGGCTCTCGTCCCGGCCCGTTTCGGAGCCGACGGCCAGTAGCACCAGTCCTAAACCTTGTTTGTGTTTTCCACGCCCTTGGTGGCGGGCGAACTTGGACAAAGTTGCCTGTTTTGCACCCCTGCGGGGCAAACAACACGACCCGCTGGCTTCCCTCACACCCCAAGCTTGGGCGGCACCATCCGCCGGGACACCCTGTGCYGCCCGGCCCCGTTCCCCGCCACGGGGTGCCGGGGGGCAGCGGCCCTCGGCAGACAGGGCCGGGCGCCGCCGCGAGGGAGCCGGGGAGGCCGAGGCAGCCACAACCGCCCGCGCGCGGGCCGTGACGGCGGGCGCCATTTCGCGCAGGGC